CACGCAAGAAGGATCTATTGGCAAAGCGCATCGGTCAAAGGACGGTTCCATTCTAGAATACCATTCAGTTTGACAGGAAGTGTGTCACCTTGTCACGTCAAAAAGATCTTTTTGATAAAATGAATCCTAGTAAAAAGGGTTCCATTCAACAATGCTGCTCACTTCGTAGCGAAGTATATCAGTTCGGCGCGTAAGGAAGATTTTCTCACGAGATGAATCGCTATAAGAAAGATTTCATTCAAAAATGTCACTCCCTTCAAAACGACGTATGTCACTGGGCCACGACAGAAAGATGCTTCGATAAAATGAATCATTCCAACCAGGGTTCTATTCAAAAATAGCACTCGCTTTGAACAGAGGTGTCTCAATGAGTCATGCTAGAAAGATGCTTCGACAAAGTGTATCGTTGTAAGCAAGCTTCCATTCAGAAATATCACTCCCTTCCAAGCGAAGTGCGCACTGCGTCATGCGAGAAAGATCCTTCGGCAAAGTGGATCATTGCAAGCAGCGATATATTCAAAAATATCAATCCTTTTGAAACTAAGTATGTCACTAGGCCATTCTAGAAAGATCTTTTGACAAATTAATCGTTGAAAGCAGGGTTCCATTCACCTATATGATTCGCATCGAAACGAAGTGTCTCAATGGATGGCGTCAGAAGGATCTTTTGGTAAGATGAATCGTCAGGAGGAAGGTTCCATTCAACAATACCGTTCACTTTGAAAGAAACTGTGTCGCCAAGTCATACCTGAATATTCTTCTAAGAAAACGATTCGTTAATATAAGGACCCCATTCAAGCATATCATTTGCGTCGAAATGAAATATCTCAGTGGATGACGCCAGAAGGATCTTTTGGTAAGATGAATCGTCAAGAGGAGGGCTCCATTCAAGAATACTGTTCACTTTGAAAGAAACGGTGTCGCCAAGTCATACCTGAATATTCTTCTAAGAAAACGAGTCGTTAAGAAAACGGCACCATTCAATGATCTCACTCACTTCAAAACGACGCGGGTCACTGGGTTACGCAAGAAACATACTCGAATAAAATGAATGGTTGTAACTAACACTCCATTCAGGCATACTGCTCACTTCTGAAGGAAGTATGTCACTTGGTCACGTCAGAAAGATCTTCCAGATAAAATGAATTGTTGCAACCAGGGCTCTGTTTAACAATGCCACTCTTTTCGCACCGAATTGTGTCAGCTTGCCACGCGAGAAAGACCTTCTCACAAACTGAATCGTTAAAATTAGGGTTTTCTTCAAGAATATCAATCACTTCTCAGCGATGTGTATGAGATCATCACGCAGAGAAAGTGTTGTGAGAAAATGAATCGCTGTAAAAAGGGTTCCATTCCTGAATCTCACTCGCTTCGAAACTAAGGGTGTTGCTGGTTTAGGCCAGAAAGATCTTTAAACAAGATGAATCGTAGTGAGAAGGATTGCATCCAAGAACATCAGTCACTCCGAAAGAAAGTGTGCTACTGGGTTACGCCACAAGGATTTTTAAGAGAAGTGAATCATTGTAAGAAAGATTCTATTCAAGAATATCGCTCACTTCGAAATGCAGCATGCAACTTGGTCATACGAGGAAAGCGTCTGGACAAAATGAATCGTAGTAAAGAGAATTGCATCCAAGAACATCAGCCACTCCAAAAAGAGGGTGTTTCATGTGATCACGCTAGAAAAATCTTTTGATAAAATGAATCGTTTATATGAGGGTTCCGCTCAAAAATGTGGCTCACTTCGAGGTGATGCGTACCACTTGGTCACGCTAGGAAGGTCTTTTGAGAAGATGAATCGTTCTAAGCAGGATTCCGTTCAAGAGTATAACTCACTTTGAAACGAAGCGTATCAGCAGTTCACGCTAAAAAAATCTTTTGGCAAAATGAATCGGTTACATCAGGATTCGGTTCAAGAACATGACTCATTTCAAGGCAAAATGTGTCACTAGGTGACGCCAGGAAGATCTTTTGACAAAATGAAGCGTTCTAAGTAGGACACCATTCAAGAATATCGCTCACTTCGAGACGAAGTACATCACTTGGTGATGAAGCAAAATCTTATGAGAAAATGAGTCGTTGTAAAAACGATTGTATTCCAGAATATCATTCACTTCGGAAAGAAAGGTGTCTCCTGATCACACTGGAAGTTTCTTCGGATGGGGAGAATTATTGTAATAAGGGTTGCATTCAAGAATATCATTCACTCCAAAAAAAAAAAGTGCCTCCTAGTCACACTGGAAGTTTCTTCAGACAAAGTGAATCGTTGTAAACAGGGTTGCATTCGAGAGTATTACTGGCTTTAAAGCTAGGTGTGTGAGTTGATCAAGCTAGAAAGATCCTTTGGGGAAAATGGATAGTTATAAACAATGTTGCGTTCAAGAATGTTATTCACTTCAAAACGAAGTGTGTCAATTAATCACACCAGAAAGATCTTTTGAGAAACTGAATCTTTCTAATCAGGGTTGCATGCAAGAATATCACTCACCACGAAACGAAGTGTTCTTTAGTCAGACGAGAAACGTCTTTTGGCAAAACAAATTGTTTAAAAAATGGTTATATTCAAGGACTTCACTCACGCCGAAGGGAAGTGGGTCACTTTGTCATGTCGGAAAGATCTTCTTAGAAAATGAATAGTGACCACCAGGGTACCATTCAAGAACATCACTAATTGGAAAACGAACTGTGTCACTTAGTCGCGCTTGAAAGGTCATTTGACAAAGTGAATCGTTCTGATCAGGGTTTCATTCAAGGATATCACTCGTTTAGAAACAAAGTCTATAAGTCGGTCACGGTATAGAGATGTTTGGAAAAAATGGATCAATTTAAGCACGATTCAGTTCACGAATGTTATTCACTGCGAGACGAAGTGGGTCACTGGGTGAAGCTTTTAAAGGCCTCTGGACAAAGCGAATTGTCCTAATCAGGCTCCTATGCGATAATACGATGCACTGCAAAAAGATTTGTCTGACTTCGTTATGTGAGGAAGATCTATTGACGAAATGAATATTCCTAATCAGAGAGCCGTTCAAGAATATCACTCACTTCGATGCGAAAGGTATGGTTTGGTCTCCGTTTAGAAAGATCTTTCGAGAAACTGAATCGGTCTAAGGAAGGTTTCATTCCAGTGTATCGGTCGACTTGGGTTAAAATATACCGTTGATCACACGTGCAGAAAAGTATTGACAAATGAATCGAGCTAATAAATAAAATCCTGTTCGAATATTTTGGTAGAGTGAAATAATTCAGCTAGATGAATATCACATTTCCTGAGAAGATTTTTAACAGATAAGCATTACAAATCTTCTATTTATTTATTAGGTACATGACAGGAATATGGTTCGTTTGAGGGCGCACTGAACAAAAATGGAGAAAATGAATAAAATGAAGAAATAATCTGCTCAGATGTCTACTGATGTAGCGTGAAATCTGAATATAATATCTTTGGAGGGACGATCTGAGGACATGTGAACGTATTCAAGTAAATGTCTATTCATCTAAATGAATGACTGTCAAGAACACATCACAGTTGTTCTTTCCAATAATGGTGACATAATGCGTGTACAGACAGAACAAAGATTCTAGTCGAATATTTCAAGTAATTCGAAGTGGTCCTCCGACATTGATTAATGGACGAAAGGAAACATCGTATATGACAGTGTTTTAATTGGAGGTGATGGACCTAAATGAATATGATGAATTGTACTTCAATTAAAAGTCTCCTATACTAGTCAGTATCCTCGTAGTGAGTTGACACTTCAATTTCAGTCCCCTTCTGATTTCTCATATAGAAAACTCTTAATATTTTCAAGGATCTGGGTGTGTGTTGGTGTGTGGATTCAGTTGGTTTTCAGACGCAGACTCACATCCACACCAGATATGAATATTGAAAAATACAATAGTAACGGAACAGGACTATTACGCCTGTACTGTAGCGATTAAGAGACAGATATAACTAATTGAAGGATTTCATTTGACTGTTACGCGGTGTGAAACCTGAAGAGGTGCTCATGTCGATATACTAGCTGATCCATTCTAATCTGACCGCTTAGAATGGTAATGATGACGGTAACAGCCAGGAAGAAACTCTACTAACTTCAACTCTAGTATACAGACTACAGTAGGGATTTTTGCAGCACTTTATTGATAGGTTTTTGTGAGTGAATGTTACTCAAAATTTTCTGTAAGATGCAAAAAAAATAAAACACTTGTTACGCTCAATATTTTATAATTTAATGTAAACTTTGTAGTGTGGAATTAGCAATGCATCACTTTTTTTTACGGAATACATAGATATTATTGATCTCATAAGTGGCAATTTATTACGAGAAGGATTTAAGACTGAAAAATTTTCAGAAAATAGACTGCTCAATTCATGAATATCTATCTTTACTAACAATGGAGGTGTTTGTACTGTCCGCGAGAATAACGGCACATATTCGGATCAAATGAAAGCTCTCACCACCAAAGTAATAAGATTAAAATATTAGCTGCTGTTGGTTAGTCTAGAGTGAGATATTCGATTTTTAAGGTACTCACGATCTGGATATATAGAAACATAGGATGGCTTACTTTAATTTGTTATTCAATCAACTGTGTATTTCAGCAGTAGACTAGAAGAATCTTTTTGAAGTTTATCAATAGCATTAAGATCACATTAGCTTTGATTTCTTCTGGAACTTAAGTAGTATTGGAATGAAAAATAAGGTATATGATATGTTTGAAAAATGACTTGTATGTACAATTTGAAATTAAAGTGCATTGATGCATCACTTGATGGTCTAAACGGCTGTTTATATATTATAGTATCGTTGTTGAAGACGGATAGACGACATTTCATGTAGGAGGAAGAGTATCAAAAGGAAAAGTAATTATTCTTATTAATCATTTCTTTGCAATTGGTGTAAAGGAATTACAAAGAAATATACTATCGAAAAAATATTCTCTTTCATTCTCTGTTGTATCTACTCACTAAAAGGTTTATTTTATCAAATTAAATCATGAATTTATTGAACATTGCTAAACATCTTCTCTATTTGGCTCAAACTGAATATGGATCTGGAAATTTTGCAACAACTATCGATGAAATTTTTGTTGCAGAACAATTATTCGAAGTTCTAAAGTCATTTAAAGACAGCTACTTCAGTGAGCTGTACACTTATGATACTCTCGAATTTGACGATGAATATGAAGAAATGACTGATACAGAAGAAAACGATGGTGACATGGATAATTACAATGAGAATGAACATTCTAGCATACAAAATCAGTTTACATTAGAAGAAATGGAAAATATAATCGAATGGGTTGACCAACATCCAAATGCCAGGTTTGCAACTATTTCCAATCGATTTAGAAAGATCAGATCCATGAAATATATTACAAGGTTTAGAGAATATATCGAAAACAACGGTACAGGATTAGAAAAATTAAAACAAATTAAAGAATTTATGTATAGCGAATTTTATATGAAAAGAACAATTGAAAAAGAAGCCGTTCATGATGATGATCTTGAACTTTATGCAATTCAAAAAGCAAGAGAATTAAATTGTGATACATTCAAGGCAAGCAAATCGTTTATCAATAATTTTAAAAGGAAAAACAGAATATCATCAAGAAGACATAATAAAATTATTACTCGAACTAAATCAAACAGAAACGTCTGCAGCTTAAATGGTAATCAAACTTTTATTTAAGCTTTCAATTCCTATGTCTTAATGTAATATACATATTTATTTTAGATGCTCAAAATTGGATCGAAAGTAAGAGAACTATGATATCAAAGTATGCTTCTCATCAAATTTTAAACAGTGATCACTACTCATTTCAACAAGAATATATCTCACCAAGGACTCTTTCTTTTACTGGTGAACGGACAACAGAAGTCACTGTTAAAAAGAAACACAACTTAACGCACTCGTATACAGTACAACCGGTTACATTAGCTGATAGCCATTTATTAAACAAATTCTTTCTCATCCTTCAAGCAAAAGAAAATGAATTCGGCAAAAGAGTGCAAAAAGATTTAATTGTACTACCAAATGTTGTAGTGAGAGCTTCAAAGTCAGGAAAAAGTGGCAGTGAAAAACACTACGTTTTTCTAAATGAAGTTCTACACCCATTGGTTGGTAGAAAATTTCTTCTTTTCCTTGATTCTTGGAAAACTCCAACTGATCTAACAAAATTTAGAGTAGCATTTCCTAGTCAAGACAGTCAACTATTGATTTTTCCTGAAGGATCAACTGGTTATATTCAACCGCAAGATCTATCATTGTTTCGATCATGGCGCGTTATTCATGAAAAAATTGAACATTATACTCATATCGATAAAATAGAAATGACTATAAATGATCGTCAATGCTTTATTAATATGCATTCTGTTATTCATAATCAACTGTCTGCTCCACAATTTAAAAATCTCATTAAGAACGGATTTATACAAGCTCGAATAATAAATGAAACAATTGGTCAAATTGAAAAACCAAAAGATGTTTGCTTTAAATTCTATGTTCTATACTATTCAATTAACAATTGCAATGGACGAACACTATTAATTTGTGCTTGGTGTAAAAAAGATCCTTTGTTACTATCATCTGATTGAAGATATACATCTACACTTGTAGTAAATTTGTTAGAATAGTATATAATATGATCTATCGTTTTCAGTCGAAACAAAACCGAAACTATTCGTGAGTTAGAGATTCTGGTAACTACTAGTTGATCTTTATCTATATTGATACTGCTTAAGTTCCAGAAGGTATCGAAACTAATGTGATCTTAATGCTATTGATAAATTTCAGAAAGATTCTTCTAGTCTACTGCTGAAATACACAGTTGATTGAATAACAAATTAAAGTAAGCCATCCTATGTTTCTATATATCCAGATCGTGAGTACCTTAAAAATCGAATATCTCACTCTAGACTAACCAACAGCAGCTAATATTTTAATCTTATTACTTTGGTGGTGAGAGCTTTCATTTGACCCGAATATGTGCCATTTTTCTCGCTGACAGTACAAACACCTCCATTGTAAGCTAACTGAAATATCATGACGATTGCCGAAAAAAGTAAGATGTTTATCAATAAAGCATTCATTCATCCAATTCTGTATGAAAGAGATATGTAGAGTGAAGAGGTGATTACTGACTTTGAGATTTTATAACGAATAGCTTTATTAGTTCTCAAAAATAGCTTAAATGATCATCGCCAGACATTAGAGATTTCGGATAGTGAGAATCATCCTTTCTGATACAGAAAACAGAAATCTATTGATGGTATGCGTTAGTTTCGACTGAGTCGTTTCCAAAACTTATTGAAAGATGATGATTATCATAATTCGGATGAAATATTACATTTTTCTTGATAACTGACTATTTCTCAGGTACAAACTGAAAAAATGAGTTTGAAACGATCAAAACTTTCTTTAATCAAGCTCAATGCTTCTAACCATGTTGAATGCAATCGAATGCCTATCATTTACTCCAAATTGGTTACCACAAATCAATCCCGAAAACAAATCTCCATTTGAGGATTTTGATTTAGAGATTTTTTAATTTG